CTCTAGTACCCACCTTATTTTTGGAGACAGGGTCTCTCACTGGACTTGGAGCTCACTGATTGGCTACACTGGCTGGCCAGGGAGCTCCAGTGATCCATCCACTTCTACTCCCAAGCATGCATTTGCAGATGTCTGCAGTCATGCCCAGACCATTTGTGTGGGTGCTGAGAACCTGAATCAAGTCTTCATGCTTCTGTGGCAGAGACTTCATAGACGGAGCAATCCCTGCCCGCCCCCCCCAAGCTACCAACACAAAATTTTAACTTGCGATCTTGAAAATGACGGAGGGGAAGGCAGGGAGGACTTGCCTGGCCATGGACTGGTCGAACAACTTGAGGAACTGAGCCAGTGAGGTCTGGTACATGATGTTGACCATGCTCATCTCTGTGATGAGGAAATAAAGGATGCTGCCCCGCGTGGCCGCAGGCCGGAACTCCTCCTGAGCTGTGTTGATCTTGATCTCCGTTTCGGCGGCCACGTGGAGTTTCTCGCTTACTTCCGCTGCCGTCTGCTTGGTGATGCGCAGGACACCAATGAGAGACTCGTCGTCCACCAAGGAACCTGAGAATCAAAGCCGCAGGTGCAGAAAGGAATTACAGAAGAACAGGAAGCTTGTTTCAGATACTGGGTCTCTAACCCAGAGGCCACAAGAAGGAGAACTCAACACCAAAGAGTCCCTGGTCCAACCACCACCCAGAGACTGGATCTTTCTAAACATTCCTACTGAGGGCTCTTCATCCTCCACTCTACCTGAAAAGCAAAAGCAAAAGACAATATGACGGTATCTGTTCTGATTTTCGTGTGTTTGTGCACATGCATGCATGTGTGCATGTGTGCGTTTGTGTGTGTGTGTTCTTGTTCATTTGTTTGCAGGTACATGACAACCTTAGGTATAGTCCCTCAAAGTCTGACATTCCCTCCCCTCGTATTTGAGACAGGGTCTCTCTCTTGGCCTGAGACTTACCAAGTAGGCTAGGCTGGCTGGTCAGCATCACTCAGAAATCTGCTTGACTCGACTTCCCCACACTGAGATTACAGGCCTGCACCACCACATCTGGCTTTTTAAAATGGATTCTAGTGAACCTAACTCGGTCCATCCTCTTGCTTGGCCAGGCAAGCACATTTTTGGCTGAGCCATCTCCCCTGCCCAACAGGTTCAAATGTTTGAAGACAAGAACCCTGCCTCCAGGAGTATCAGTGGCACCTGTGGGATATACTGTCACCCCATTATCGCCTTGGCAATTCTCGCCATGGTGTCTCCAGGCCATAAGTTCTCTATCTTGGGGTACTAGCTGATGCAAGCACTGTACCCAGGCTGAGGAGCTGGCGGACCAGTGGGACATTCTCTCCCCACTTCTTGAGTTAAAGAGCACTTGATAGGGACAACCTAGGCCACTCTATGCCTCTAACGAGAATTAACTGGGCTATAGTGGAAGTGTCTCACCAAGAAAACCAAGACCTGCTTTCCACCGAGCTCACTGTGTGTATGCATGTATGGAGGTGTGTATGTATAACGCATGTTTGGGCCATGCTATCCCACAGCCAGAATCATAGCTCCTTTTTTAAGATTTTATTTTGAGACCAGCTCTCGTTACTATAGCCCAAGCTGGTCTCACATCCCCAATCCCTGTGCCCCAGCCTCCCAAGCAGCTGGGGTTACAGGTGTGTGCTACCACACCTTGCCTTGAGGGCATCCTAAGGCCATCATCATTCTTGGATACTGAGGTTTAGTTTTCTTCTGACCCAGGGATTAAAGTGACAACGGAATGGACTTCTAAGTCAACTACTAACACATGGTGGAATTTAACGGGGCTGCTGGGTTTGCCTAAAGAATATTGCTGGAGCTGGGCGGTGGTGGCACACGCCTTTAATCCCAGCACTCGGGAAGCAGAGACAGGAGGATCTCTGTGAGTTCAAGGCCAGCCTGGTCTACAAGAGCTAGTTCCAGGACAGGAACCAAAAAGCTACGGAGAAACCCTGTCTCGAAAAATCAAAAAAAAAAAAATACTGCTTTGCTTGTTGATTCCCTTTTCTTTGCATAAAATTTTGGGTTTGTTTTTTGTTTGTTTTCTGTTTGTTTCCTTGTTGGGAGCCAAGGTCTTGCTGTATAGCTCTGACTGGCCTGGTGCTTACTATGTAGCCCTGGCAGCCCACAGCAATCCTCCTGCCTCAGGTACTCCTCCCAAGGGCTGGGGTTACAGGTCTGCACAGAAAACCTTTTTTCTTCAGTGTATGACAGAGAGGGCACCGCTGCAAACTGGGGTGTGGTATAATGATTCTGGCTACCCAGAGGAGACAGTACCCTTGACTTCTAAGTGGGAGTCATCTGAGATGAGCCAGGCCCTCGGTTAGACACGTTTTCCTGATTACAAGTGGCATGTGCTGTACGTGACCCATCATAGTAGCTTCATTTCAATGCTAAATGAAAGAGCTGATTGATTGATAAAAATAAAATAAAAACAAAAAAGACGGAACACACGCCTCTGGGCAAGCAAATGAGGCCATCATGAGCTCCTAGGTTCTGCTTAGGAGCCCTTGTTTGGCTCAGAAGAGGGTGATTATATCAACAAGGTGGTACTAGTCTCAGCCGCTGACTCCACTTGCTAATTCAGACATCAGATTCCCCGTGGTGTTTCCTTAACGCCCACACGGAAGCCACCCCGCCTGCTTGTGCATTGGGAAGTGAGCTATTTCCTCCAATCTGTGGTCGCCGAGGCACTGAAGGGGGCCCGCAATTAAATGAGCTCCTTCCTCGGGAGCCAGGGCTTGACGGCCTCTTAAGGACGTGGTACCTTTCGTGGCGCTCAGCTTATACAGCAGGTTGTCCTCAAGCTCCTTCATCTTCCGCTTGTTAAAAGTCACGTCCTCGAGAAGCTTCACCCTCTCCGACTCCAGCTCCTGTGGTCAAGACACAGACAATGGAACCTGGGCATCCTCGTCACCGGTACTTACAGAAAACCAGGCTCACTGGTGTTTTAACAGCAACACCAAAGGGTTCAACAAAATTGCGCCTTGAACAGTGGAAGAAAGGATTATCATTAGTCGGACCAATTTATATTTTTGTTTCTCTGGACAATTGAGAAAACGATGCCCACTGGTGCTAACATTCCATAGTTCTGGGGCTGAGAGATGGCCCAGTCAATAACACATCTAATGTACAACTATGAAAACCTGAGTTCAGATCCCCAGAGACTCTTTACTCCTAAACACTCGGCTGAGTCTCCTGAGAGCCAGGACATTGTCCTCCTGCAGAGTCCAAGCCCACCCTTCAAGCCTAGGATGTTTAACAGTGACAAGCATTCTTGTAGAGTTTAAATCAAAGTGCCCTTAATAACAGTCATCTTTTTACTTATTTTTTTCACAGACGTGAAGGGGCATGCATGTGTGCATATATATGTTTTTACACGTGTTGGGGCTCCCACATGTATGAGGGTGTGCATGCAAGGGTGATGTTCAGAATCATCCTGAATCGCTCTTCTACCTTAAACATGGAAGCAAAGTTTCTCATTAAACCCAGAGAGCACAGATATGGCTCTGTGTGTGTGTTGTTGCTGTTGTTGTTGTTATTTTGTTCTTGAGACAGGGTCTCCTGTAGCCTAGGATGGCCTTAAACTCATCAAGGAGCTGAGGATGACCTTGAACTTTTTACTCTCCTGTTCCTGCCTCCCTAGTGCTGGATTACAGGCTTGTGCTTGCACACACCCTGATTGTGCATTGGAACTGAGGGTTTTGTGCATGCCGAGCAAGTCCTCTGCCGACTAAGCCACATCCTAGCCCTCTGTGACACTCAGGCAGCAGCGTTTCCTCATCTATATGCAGAATCACATTTTGCATTTAGGATTATATTTCAAGGTAAATCAAAGCGCTAACTTGAGAACATTCCTTGCAAAGCCTCTTCAGAAACCCCACTAACTTCACAAGTCTTCTGAAAGCAAATGGATGATCAAAAGCTACAGCCCGGCACTGAGTCAAACGCCTTTCATGACTTCAATCAGTCTGCCTACACGTTATTTTCATCCAGAATTTGGCATCTAACAGGCAGGAGCTGTAAATTCTTGAGAGCACCCACTTTGAGGCTTGGCAGAGTGGAGGACTTTCGTTCCCATCGCGTATTGTCTACCTGGGAGAAGGTGGAACCCCTGCAGAGCATCCCAGTGCCACCTAACCACAGTGGTCGCTGCAGAGATGGACCTAACCCTGTCCTCGAACCCTGACTAGTTTCCCTGCCATCCCACTGGCAGGCTGTGGGGTGCCCTAGGATGGTGATGAGTGTGACCACGCTTGCAGGAGACTAGCTAAGGAACTGCTTCCACTGAAATAACCATCCCTGGGGATGCAGAGGTGGCTGAGATGCTGAAGTGGTTACTACACAGGCATGTGGACTTAGGAGGAGGTCCTGACGACCAGCACCTGTGTAAAAAGCTGAACCTGGTGGAGCATGCCTGGAACTGCGGTGCTGGAGAATTGGAGACAGGGCGATCCCAAGGGCTTGCTGGCCAGTCATCTGGCCTAACTGGTGAGTTCCAGATTCAGTGACAGAATCTATCTCAGAAAATTAGGTGGAGAATAATCAAGAAAGACACCTGACATTGGCCTCTGACCTTCATTTGCACATATGTGTTCATATATATGAACAAACACACATCCACATGTGCATATATGTGCACCTATATGAACACGCACCTTCTCACATACATGTATATGTGTATGTGTATGAACACCCATCTTCACATGCACATGCATGTGCATATATGAATACATACCTTCACATATACATATGTATACATATATGAACACACCCTTTCACATGCACATGTGTGTGTGTATATATATATGAGCATGAACCTTCACAGGCACATGTGTGCACATATATGAACACACACCTTCACATGCACATACGTGAGCATGTATATGAACAGACCTTCACATACGCATATGTGTGCACATATATGAACACAAACACACACACCTTCACATGCACATGTGTGTGCACATATATGAATACACACGCATGTATAGGAAAACCCAAACAATGAAATCACACTCAATTCCTTTTTAATACAATAGGGAAAGGTAGGTATCATGGGGACCTGAGGGGCTTCCAGGAGGCCTTGGGAAACGTTGTCACAGATGGGGACAGACCCTCATCCTCTGTGACTCCAGGGCTGTCAGGAGGAGACACTCTGCTTATAAAGCTTGTCTTCAGTGCTCTCCAGCAAGGCTGGCTCAAGCATGCCAGTGGGTGTTTTAAAGAGGCATCAGCGTTAAGAAGAGGGATGTGGGCACTGGAGAGAGCTTTAGGTAATAAGCCTCTTGGGGGAGCTACACCAGTAAGAAACCATTCAGACTAGACGAGCAGCACCTGTCGACCACTGGCGACCGGTGTGGACCCGAGAGGGGATGGAGGTAGCCATCTGGAAGGCTAGGGTTTTGATGGTCTGCCCCTAGTGGGGAACCACTTCTAGTAAACAAGTAGGATGCCGTTGCTATTTTGCTCCTGAAGGAGAGATGGTGTCACATCTCTTTACCTTCTGGAGCGTCTCTCCTCATCCCACGGCCCTCCACCCACACACCTTCCCTTCCCTCTCTTCACCCATCGCTCTCTTCCTCCCCCCATGCCTCTTTGCTCTTATTATCGCTCACCTTGCCTTCTCCTTGAATACTAAAATGAATTATATCAAAGTAAGTGTAAACTATCTTGTGCTTTATGCAAATTTAGTTAATATATGCAAATATATTTTATGCATAAAATTGAGTTTTCCGAACATCTTAAAAGATATCTAGCTCTTAAAATATTACAGGCCTAAGGTGCTCCTTGCTCCACCAATACCCTTAGTTATACCTAATTGATTCCCCCCCTCCAATGCAAATTTCATTTGAAATATTGTTCCTTATATCATTACATTATTGCACTGCAATATCAGAAATCCCAGCAGTGGCTAATTGCCATCCAGGGGAATTTTCTTTTCTCTGGGATCATTGCTTTTATTAAATTTTTCAGGTGTCTCAAGACAATACACAGCACTACGGATTGAAATGTGCAAAATCAATACACACAAAGATATAAAAACAGAGGCAGGAAGTGTGCGTGTGTGTGTGTTTATTGTCTGGGGATGGAGGATAACTGAGTCATATAATCTTCTAACAGAAATTACTACTGAGAAAGAAATATTTCCTTATGCTAACAAGAGGAAATACGATTGGCTTATATTTTCCATATATTTGCTATAACAACATCCTAATCTATTTTATTATTCACATTTGTTTGTTTGTTTATGGGGGGCATGCAACAACCTAAGAGTTGATTCCCTCCTTCCACCATGTGGGTACCAGGGATCGAACTCAGGTCTTCAGGCTTGGTAGCCATCACCTTTAATTAAGCGGAGACTGTTTGTTCATTTCCCGGCCACCCAGACCCGAATAATCACTCAGAAACTATATTAGTTACCACACTGTTTGGCCAATAGCATAGGCATATTTTTAGCTAACTCTTACATCTTAAATTAACCCATAATTCTTGTCTGTGTTAGTCATGTGACTTGGCATCTTTTATTAGTGAGGCATTCTCATTTTGCCTCCTCTGCATCTGGGTGATGACTGCAGACTGAGCCTTTCCTCTTCCTAGAATTCTCCCATTCTGGTCACCTCATCTATTCTTCCCGCCTGGCTACTGGCCAGTAAGTGTTTTATTAAACCAATACAAGTGACAAATCTTTATAGGGTACATATATTGGCCATCCAGGGGAATTTTCTTTTCTCTGGGATCATTGCTTTTATTAAATTTTTCAGGTGTCTCAAGACAATACACAGCACTATGGATTGAAATGTGCAGAATCAATACACACAAAGATATAAGAATAGGAGCAGGAAGTGTGTGTGTATGTGTGTGTGTGTGTGTGTGTGTGTGTTGTCTGGGGATTGAGGATAACTGAGTCATATATTTTTTCATTTCAAAACAAGAACTCTGAATCTAATTTTCTTTGTTTAGCTTTTATCCTGACCATTATCCATAACAACTTGTAACCAATACTCTAAACAAAGAGTATCAGCCATCAAACCATTCAAAGACAAGACAGTAACATATAGTATCCAGATTCTCTGTGTATTTTCCATCTTTATGTGGCTTTATTTTAAAATCTATTTAACTTTTATTTTTAATTTTTTTTTTTTTGAGACAGGGTTTCTCTGTTTATCTTTGGCTCTCCTGGAACTCACTCTGTAGACCAGGCTGTCCTTGAACACATAGAGATCCTCCAACTTCTGCCTCCCAAGTGCTGGGATTAAAGGTGTATGCCACCAAACCTAACTACTCTTTTTCTTTCTTTCTTTTTTAAAGGATTTTATCCTTTTTCTTTTCTCTCTCAAGCCTACATATATTTTTAAACACACTGTAAACTGTTAGAGGTTTTTTTTTTCATCTGAATCTATATTTACTGTATCTCTCTCTTTTTCTGACACAAGAATCTTTAATTTGCTAAGGAAGTAATGTGGCTAGGATTAAATCCATGGCTTTGAGAGCCGGTGGCCAGTAGCCAGGCAGGAAGTATAGGTGGAGCAACAAGAACAGGAGAATTCTGGGAAGAGGAAAGTCTCAGTCTGCAGTCTTCACCCGGATGTAGAGGAAGCAAGATGAGAATGCCTCACTTATAAAAGTTTCCAAGTCACATGACTAACACAGACAAGAATTATGGGTTAATTTAAGATGTAAGAGTTAGCTAAAAATATGCCTAAGCTATTGGCCAAACAGTATTGTAACTAATATAGTTTCTGTGTTATTATTCGGGTCTGGGTGACCACGAAATGAACAAGCAGTCTCTGCTTATACCTTTACCTCCTGAGCCATCTCACGGACCCTCCTGATCAATTTTAAACACTTATTGTGAGTTTGAGCTTTTATGTTGAGAGTACTTACCTGTTTCTCTGTTAGAATGACCCTCCTGAGTAACTGGTTCTCGAGTCCCTTCATGGTGACAGTGAAGTCAATGACCGACGTCTTGGCGTTGATCTCGGGGGTAAAGGCAGGATTTGGCAACTTTGTGGTGATGTAAAGTTTAAACGTGTCCATGATGTCACATTCCTTGTCACCGACTTTCACCTACACAAGTTCAAATGTTAAATTCAAAACAGCTTCAAGTTGCCTAAACAAGACCTGCGCGATGATACCAGTGGATAGACCCATGTGGATGGGAGAAACCCCATACAGCCCCGCCTCTAGAGGAAAGGCTACAGGCAATCACTGGCTTCAGAGAGAGGGAGAGGCGAGGTCCCGACAGGTCATGCAATCCCAAATGGTCAGCCCTAAGAATATATACAAACAAGCAACACTAAATGGTCTCAGTAGTGTGTGTGTGTGTGTGTGTGTGTGTGTGTGTGAGAGAGAGAGAGAGAGAGAGAGAGAGAGAGAGAGAGAGAGAGAGAGAAGAAAAACTGTAGAAGAGGTCATGGATTTGGGAGTATGCAGGAAGATACAGAAGGTGCTGGAACAATGGGAGGGAGGGGTGGAAAATGATGTAAATACGTATGAAATTCTAAAACAAAATTTTAATCCAAATTTTTAAAAGAATACAAATGTATAGCCCGAAAGAAAGAAAACAATTTAAAAGATGCAGGGGCATGGGGCAGGGGCACTGAGAGTTTGAGATAGGAGTAGGTTCCCCAGGGGTCAAGGCTGTTGATGTGTGAATGAATTGGGAAGGAGAGTTGGGAAATTTTAATCACAGATCTTAAATAACAAAGCCTATCCAACTTAGAGTAATTCAGATTTGTCCTTCTGCCTGGAGATGTTCTTAGCTGCTGTCCACAGCAAATCGAATGAGAAGCTGATCTCAAACCAACAAGGAATAAAGGAAAACCTAGGCACGTCCAAGACCTGACTTTAAATTCCAGCATTTATCAACCCGCATCAATTTTATTATTTTCCCCTAGACAGTGAAATTATATCCGAGTGCAGAGCTGTTTTTAGGAACTATCACTTCTTTTCTGCATTCCACAGCCGTATCTCTAACATATTTGACAACATAGTCGATATAATTTTCAAAATAAATATTAGAAACATAATATTAACCTTAAACACTACTATTTGTAGTATATTAAAAAACAAAACTTTTACTTTTTTGTGTAACATCCCTAGTTGTCCTAGAACTGGCTCTTGTAGACCAGGCTGGCCTTGAACTCACAGAGATTCACCTACCTCTGTGCCACTACTGCCCAACTTATTTTGTGTGTGTGTGTGTATGTGCATGTGTGACATTTTTTACCTTTTAAAAACCAGGTAGAAACCCTAACATTTTTAAATGACTTAAATTTCTAATGAGTCCTGATTGGACATGGGATGGGAACCTTGCTACAACCTCTGACACATCCTCAAACTGAGGACGAGAATCCAAGGTCCTGCAAGCAACCTCAGTAATGGCGGCTCTGTAACCTTTCTTACAAAACAAGCCAGGCTCAGAAGGACAAACACTATACATGACTTTACGCTTACATATGGAATCTAAAAGGGTGGAGCTCCTAGAAGCTGAGAATCCAACACAGGATATTTGGTGCAGGGAAGGGGAGGGTAAGGGGTGGCCTGGGTGTTGGGGGAGGGCTGGCCAAAGAGCACAAACTTCCATTTCTAGTCTGACATATTCCAGACATCTATTGCACAGATGGGCACCAAATGGGCTAGTCATGCATTCGACTGTATATTACACAATATACATGAATAACAAGACACCACATGGTACCCTTTGAAGATATATATATAATTTCTATTTGTCAACTAAATGGGTTTTTTAAATTTTGTGTGTGTGTGTGTGTATGAGTGTTTTGCCTGCATGTATATATCTGTACCACATGCATGCCTGGTCGCCACAGAGGTCAGAAGAGGGCTTTAGATCACCTGGAACTGGAATTACAGGCAGCTGTGAGCTGCCCTGTGGATGCTGGGAACTGAACCCATCCTGGAAGTGCAGCATGGGCTCTGAAGAGCTGAGCCTCCTTCCGGCTCCCATCAACCGAACACTTCTAAGAATGATTCCAAATTGTGGGTGAACCCACAACGGCCGAAGCAATCGCCAAGATTTTATTCCTGGCTCCCTTTTCTAGCAAAGAAAATTTGCACTTTGTAACCTCACAGGAAAACAAAAGGAATTCTTGAGGATGTTGACTCAGTTTTATTCATTAAGTTAAATTCACTCTTCCAGGCTTCAGTAGATCACCAATGCTCCATATGCATTTGTTCAAAGTGCGGCGCTGGGGAGATGATTCAAGAGTTAATAGCTTGTCACGAAAGCATGGTGACTGAAGTCTGGATTCCCAGGTCACATGAAAATTGCTGGGGGAACCTGGCAACCCACCTGTAATTGTGATTCTAGTCTCTAGAGCAAGCTAGCTAGGGAGGCTAGTCATGTCGGTGAACTCTGAGACCTGCCTCGGTGACTAAGGCGGAAGGCTGCTGGAGAATGACTCATTCTACACGCAAACACATATGCACACATGCATACACGCACATACATGTAAATGGGGGGGAAGGAATTCAAGCTGTAAAGAGAACCAGGTAAATCTGTGTTTAAGAAGAAAACCCTCGTTCCTCACATCTTCCCTAGTAGTCAGGGAATTTAACAAACTGGAAGTGAAATGATCGAATCTAAATGCTGTCATTTATCAAGAAAATAAAACCAATGAACCTTCAAAGTAGAGAATGAGACCAATTAAAAAAAGAGACACTTATATTGAAAACAATTTGTGTTGGCAATAGCAGTCGGGAACAGAATTCTGTGGCTTCTGGCAAAGTCATTGAGTTTAGACTGAAAGTTAGTAAAGACAGAAATGAACAAATCAATGTCTACAGTCTTTATTAAAATGCTATTTCCTTCAGTGAGGAGATCCAGGTTTTCTTTGGATTTGCATATGTATTTGGCTTGCAAAACCACTTTTCTAATATACAGCTAATATAATATATATGTCATTTCCGTGTAGCGCGATTATATTGTTATTAAGATAAGAAACCTGTTTCCTTAATGTGTTTCTTCATTTCTACCAACTGAATACTCTTGCAAGGATACTGCCCTTCTGGGGCTTTTTTTTAAAATATATATTATAAAAACAATGAAAGCAATCAGAATTGCATGGCTCCCACCAATAACATACATACATACAATAATTCATTTGTATGTATCCATTAAAGGGTAAAATTTCAAGAACTCATTCAGTAATTTTGTCAAGTACACTACATTGCACCCTATAAATATGTGTGATTATTTTTAAATTAAGAATTAAATCAACTCAAAGCAGAGTAAAGTTGGAGCTGGAGAGATGGCTCAATGGTTAAGAACAATATTGCTCTTACAGAAGACCCAAGTTCAGTTCACAGCATCCACACACTAGCTGTTCATCGTCACCTTTATTGTCTATTCCAGGGGATCTGGCGCCCTCTTCTGGCCTCTGAGGGCACCTGCACTCACATGAACACACCCCACACACAAACGGACACATAATTAAAATAAAGTATGTTTTAAAGAGAAAAGCAATAGCTACCACTTTGGAAGGGAACAGGCAAGAAATAAGCTGCTGGCGTCTAGAAGCAATCTCCTAGAGGAAACAGCCCATCTGAACACGCTGGTTTCCAGTGCACAAAACATCACCACCCCAAAGAGACAGCTCGACCACTGAGCTGAGGCCAAGGGGAGGCCACCAGTGTTCTTTATCCTTTACAAAACACTCACCTTGAAAGCGGTGCCTGATTTAATGAAGTTCTTTTCGAGTACATTATCCAGAGCAGGGTCCAGCTCCTCTCGAATGTCCTCAATGAGAAGGGGGCGACCCAAGGAGAGGCTGTCCTCCAAGTGTGTGCGGAAATATTTGTGGTTCAGAGACGTCACCTGAAGATAAAAAGCCCCTTAGTCTAAAACATCCCCGACAGCGCTCCGGGTGCTAAGTGGAAAGCAAGCCATCTGTTGGATGGATGGCTGGGAATTGAAAGGGCAAAGAATTAAATAAAAGTAACAAGCAAGAGTTCATTTCCAGAACACGGAGAGTGCTGACTGTTGAAACAGTGTCTCCGGTCCAGAAGAGAAGGGACACTCTCAGATGGAATGCCAGAGCACATCTTACCAAATGCCACGGACTCTTCCTATTCAAACTTAAGCAACTAGAGAATCACTCACACCCGGCAAGGTGCCATGAGTATTCTGATATGTATTTACCTCTTCTGGGCTCTCTGAAATTCATGGGTGGCAAGTAAATAAACTTAAGAATGTCAGGCGGCTGGAGAGAGGTTGTGGGGGCTAGGGGAGCTTGCCGCTCTTCAAGAGGACCCGAGTGCTGGGCCCAGCATACGCACTGGACAGCTCACAGTCACTTCCAGCTCCAGCTCCAGGGATCTGAGGTCCTTTTCAGCCCTTACCGGTACTTCACTCACACGCACAGACACATGTGCAGAAACGCAGGCGCACACATCACAAAGCTAAAATAAGTCTTCAAGGATGATGTCAGAAGTGATACACTGAGAAGCAAGGATCTACCCCAGAACTCAGAAGAACATCTGTCTGCATTTCATCATTAACTGTCACCTTTGTTGTAGGCTTCTCATAAAAACTCTTTATTGGGTTGGAGGGGATTCCCCACCCCCCTTCTTAGTTTACTGGCAGCTTGATCATGACTGGGTGCCGGATGGTAACAGGTACACTCCCCACATTTATCAAGATGGTCACATGATATCCCCAATAGTGATGGCCCACTTTGATGTATTAATTTAGATTCAATAAATATTGGAATTGCTACACTATGTAAGAGCTCTGCCGAAAATATAAACATGGAGAAAACCATAAACATGACTAGCAGGAAGTTTATGGTTCAGCAGAGAGAAATGTGCAAAAAGCAATAATTCAAGTAGTCAGACTCGGAGTCCAGAACAGAACCACAGATAAACACAGACAGGTCTCGGGGTGGGCTATGTGAATCAGGGCATGCAGAGAAGTAAGACTCGGGGTTCAGAACAGAACCACAGATAAACACAGACAGGTCTCGGGGTGGGCTATGTGAATCAGGGCATGCAGAGAAGTCCTGATAGAGCAAGCATTAGATAGAGGTTTTGAAGGGATACTGATAAAGACTTTGATCTAAGGTCATCACTGTGAAAAGATATTCTGATTAGCAAAAGAAATATAAGCAAAATTATAACAAGTCAGGACCCCATCTCAAAAAAAAAAAAAAGGAGAGGCCAGGGAGATGGCTCAGGCTACTGCCATGCCTGATGACCTGAGTTCTATCCCTGGCACCCACATGGTGGAGGAGAGAACTGACTCTTGCATGGTGTCTTCTGGCCTCCCTATGTACACTGTAGCACACACACACACACACACACACGCACGTGTGCACGCACATACACAGAGACAGAGAGAGAGAGAAATAATAAGTTTTAAAAATGCACGGGGCATGAGGAATTCTGGGAACAGGATCTAGGAAACACTCAATAGCCCATATTGCTAGCTGACCAGTGGCAACATGATCCCCAAAGAAGTCAGAAATGTCATAACCCTGGCCTTATCTAACCCAGTTTTAAAATTAACCCCAGAATAGGCTCTACAGGCAATGCTGGAGCTGGGCGCACTGTATGGTGCCAAGGGCCTGGGTGAGGCTGGCAGCTGAGGAGGCACTCCTGCTGCTGCTCTCCTATTAGTCCAAACTCAAAGTCCAAAACAAAAGCCACATTCTCCACTGGCCGAAGTAACCGTGCCAGGGAAGCAAAGAGGGATCGGGAGAGTGGGATCAAGAAGGGAAAGAGGCTAGGGAGGTGGAGGCAGGAGGATCCAAAGTTCCAAGTCTTCCTTGTTCACACAGTAAGATCTAGGCCAGCGTGGGACCCAAGAATCCTAAAAACAAATGAACAAATAAAAAGAATGCGAAAGAAACGGCGTCATCAGAGTTGTTGCCCCCGATGCTGCTACACACGAGGACAAATGAGCAAACGCTGGCCAGAAGAAACGTGACATTATGGTTTACATCTGGAATGTTCTCAAAGGGCCATGGGTTAAAGACTTGGTTTTCGGCTTGGAGCCACTGGGAGATGCAGCATGGAGAGGAATGAGTTAACACCTCCAGGCCAGGCCTCTACAGCAACCAGAGCACCACAGCTCCTTCCTCTCTCTTCTCTTCTGCATTCCGGCCACCGTGGCCGTGAGCCGCATTGCCACAGACTGCCGCCATGACAGCTGCCTCACCCTAAAGCCATTGAACCGACTGACAATGGACCAAACTCTCCCAAACTGTAAGTCCCAACAAACCCTTTCTCTTTATAAACTGGTTCATCTCAAGCCGACTAGCACGGACGACACCGTCATGTGCGTCTGCTGAGACGCCGAGAAAACATTATCATTTATACACACACTGAATGGGACGCACCTGCAAGTCGTTTTCTTTTTCCTTTGATTTAATCCATGTCTTCCCCTGAGTCTGGGGATCGATGAGGAGAGGGTATCTGGTGGCCTTTGTCACGATGATGCCGTTCTGAATCGACAAGTCATCGCCGGGTAATCCCTGCAGGCCCCACTCGCCAATCTGAAGGGGAAATGGGCACGTGCCCGTTCAGAGACCCGGAACGTGTTCATTAGTAGGTGAGCGCTTAGAATGGAAAATGGAAACGACTCTGCAACTGGTGTCTGGGGCGGGGGTGGGGGAGCAAACCAACCTGCAAACGGGAGCCCGGTGATGTCAAGTTTAGAAAGCAAATGTAAATATTTATCTTCCATATTTTTATTTTGTATATGCGTATGTGTAGGGAGTAGTTTTGTACATGTGAGTGCGCTGCTTGCAGAGGCCGGAAGAGGGAGCTTATTCCCCCTGGATCTGGAGTTACACAGGCTGTGAGCCTTCTGACATGGCTGCTGAGAACCAAACGTGGGTCCCCACTCTTGATCTGTTTGTCCTCTTAGGCTGTATATATGTTTTATACTTACAGAGATTGTGAAAGGAGGCCAGTATCAGAGAAGAAGATAGCCCCCAGCCCCCAGAGTGTCCTGGCCTTTGGTTCTGCCTACAAGGCTTAAGGAAGGTAACTACGCAGCTGGAGAGACGTTGGCTGTGATGAGCTGGTAGGAGTTCAGCAATGGTAAGTATGTCTGTGTCCTTCCCCAAATTTAAATGGGATAGCATCACAGTCAATGAATTCTCTGGAGATCCAGTGAGCCAAGCAGTGTCTACCTTTGCTAAATTATGCCTAGGTCCTCCAAAGACCCAGATTCATAAGGATTACCTCGATCCACCTTGCCTTCCAGGGCCCGGTGTCTCCTGTACACAATCTACTCCCTATAAGGATAAGTCTAACATTGTTTGAGCTAAAGGCTACTTTTCAGCCTTTAACTACAGAACATGGGGAATTCAAAGCACTGTCTCCCCAAGGAAGCAGCAACTGGTGCCTGTTTGCAAAGCTGAAACAACAAGTCAATCTGAATACAGGAGCCTGGCGAGTTGTGTTGAAAACTGACATTGGCATCAAAATCCCAGCAAGTTAGGCCTGCCATTTGTCATCAGTGCCAGAGCATGCTGGGAGTTAGCCATTTGTGACGGCTAATCTGGGAGTGGGTTGGTAAAGACACTTCTGGGCCGCCTGGGAAGGCCTCTGAGAGGTTCATCTGAGGAGGGAAGTCCCACTTGAGATTCGAGTGGCATCACCCATCTAATGGCTGGGGTCCCCCACTAAATGGAAAGGAGAAAGTGAGCTTTGCACTAGATCTCCCCCCCCCCCCCCCCGCTTCCTGACTGAGGATGCAAAGGGACCAGGAGCCTCACAACCCCACCTCCATGCTTCTCTGCGCATGATGGACTGTGACCTCAGACTCTAAGTCAAATGAAGCCTCCCTTCTTTGTTTGGTTTTTCTTAGTTTACTCTGTAACAGCAATAAGGCACTAATATACTATAATATCTAATATATATACATATAATATATATGTATCCCTAATACACATATCATACTTACATATATAATATACTAGGATACCTAATATATATAATACCTAGTATATATCATATTTACATACATAATACACTATAATACGCAGGGAGCAACCGCCTTTGCCTCCAATCTTTGAAAGAGAACATAAAAGAATTAACATTTCAAATAATGGAAAGCCATTTAAGCCATCTTAGTTACGGAAGCAGCTTCCAATTGCAGGAAAATAAGGCAGAGCTTTGCCTTTTTGCTGACTGTGGGAACTGAAATGGGGCTGGAATTCCAATGTGGTGGGGAAAGGTCAAACTTACAGTCGGAGGGTCCACCAGCATGGCAATGAGATTCAGGTTTTCGGTGAAAGGGATCTTCCGCGCTTTCAACTCTAACTCCCACTGGTCTTTAAGCAAATAGTTTCTGAATATCTGGTTGAAAGGGCCGAGGTAGGAGAGAAAGCCCGTGCACAGCAGAACATCGCCTACAAGTCTGTTGAGAGAGCAATGCAGCCGCTGAGGCCCAGTCCTCGGGGTGAGTCCCTGGGAGAGCTACGGTGCAGACTTACTTTGCCATAGGGTGTGCAGCACAGACTTTCCTTGCCCCTGACGGGGGAAAACTGTGCAAAAAAAAAAAAAAACAGCCCTAAACACAAAGGGGTAGGAGGGGTCACTTTTGGGTGGCTCAGGGGATGTAAACCAACTCTTTTCCTGCAGTGAGGATGGTGCTTTTTTATTGCACAGCCTGTTCACAGCCTGTCTTAGCAAACACTTAGTGTGCCTTTGTGCATATGTGTGCACATTTGTGTGTGCAGGAACCTATGCACTCTTTCCGTGCACGTGCATGCATGCGTGTGTGTATGTACACGCACACATGAACACAAGCATGTGGGCAAGCTTGCACGCTTGTGTACATACTCTAGAGGTTGATGTCAGATGTCATCCATAGGTCCCATTCCCCGCCCTCCAGACATGCTGTTTTTTGGGACAGGTTTCTTTTCTCTTTGGCTTTGAGTTCACTGGGTGACCAACAAGTCCCAGGGATCCACTTGTCTCTTCACCCTCCTAGTTCTGGGATTCCAGAGGTGCACCATACCACACTGGCTTTCAGCATCTTTGCCTGGCAAGCCCTTCACTGACTGAGTCTTCTCTCCTGCCCAATGCACATGTTCAAAATCACTGAGGGTAAGCCCAGGGAACCTCACAAGTGTCGGGCAGTCTTGGAAAACCCAAACATTGCTGGATGTGCCTCCAGCTAAAAACTCACGCTGCAGAGCTACATGGGGACCCTTTGCTTTCTACTTCAGAGATGTGTTTGCAGCCACTGGGGGTTGCAGAGTGTGGAAGGTGTAGGTTTCATGTGTGACAGAGAGGTGGGATGGGAGTGATGACTTAGAAGGGAACCCACAAGACTAAAACTCCTACCTATTAATCTGCGCTCTGAACTCTTTGCTTTGCTGGGTCCAGCGGACTTTTTCTCCACTCAGCCCATCGATGAGTGTGGAGGCTGCCTGCATCTTCTTCCTACACATGTCTGCATCATTGAGCAGATCCTGCACGTGGAAATGAGAAACGGCTTAGACAACATTTCAAAGCACTTGAGCAGGGGCGTGTTGTGTTCACACATAAAACCACACGGAGGAATTTCTCAGTTTGCAAAATAAATGCAGTTAGAAAATAATAGAGCGACAAATTACCATATTAATTACAATCCGATCCTTCATTCATAAGACAGCAATTTTTTTTAACCTTGTAGGATTTCAAGGATATATGTAAAAGGGCAGGGGATGTAGCTCAGTTGGTAGGATGCTTGCCTAACATGCATGAAGCCTTGGGTTTGATTCCCGGCATCACATGAAGCTAGGCATGACAGTGCATGCCTGTAATCCCAGCACCCCACGGGTGGGGCTTCAGAAGGATCAGAGGTTTAAGGCCATTTTTGGCTGAGCAGAGAAAAGATGGGCTGCGTGAAACTCTATCTCCAAAGTGAACAATTAGTTACATAAACAATAAATGAGGCTAAAATTCAAGGACATTTTATAAGAAAGACTCTAAAATTGTGTAAAGTAGTATTTCTATTCAATAATTTCCAGAAAACAATAAAGGTAAAAATGCTGATAATTCCTTTAATTAGTTTTTCAGTCAGTATGCAAAATAATGGGTTTCATTATGGCATTTCCATACATGCATATGATTATACTTTGCTCATATTCATTTCCCTGTTGTTGTTCCTCCCCTTTTGATGGTTCTGTTCCTCCCTGAACCCCAAGTTTCCCTTCTGTTTTTATGTAATTTGCAAATAGATTATAGGTAGATAGATAGATGAGAGAGAGAGAGAGATACTGATAGATGGGAATAAATGGATGGATGGATGGATGGATGGATGGACGGATGGACAGATAGATGATAGATAGATAGATAGATAGATAGATAGATAGATGATAGATAGATAGATAGATAGATAGATAGATAGATAGATAGATAGATAGATGATAGATACAGGCATAGATACATAAGATACACAGATGATAGACAGATAGATGGATGGACGGATAAGATAGATATGAATAGACAGAGATAGATGGATGTAAGACTAGATTCCACATATATAAGAAACACATTATTTGAGAAACAAAATTACTGAAGATAAGCGTGTACCCTGACTTCAATGTTATCCCACATATCCACGCACTGAAACATCACATGGTACCCATCAAGGATGTCCATGTTTTAGGTATAAGCCTAAAAACTACACTTAATTTCAATCCAAAGCGACTTCCAGTGGAGCGTCAGGACAGCACTTCCACCAGCTCACCATTTTCTCATTCATGGCCGCGTCGAACTTGGCCTGCACTTTATCCAGCTCAGCCTGCTTCTCATCCAGCAGCGCCTGGGCCTTCCCCAACTCTGCATTGGCCACGGCCAGGCGGCCTTCCTGCTTGGCCAGGTTTGCCTAGGAAGAAGGGGCAGAGGTTCGCCAGAGGCACACAAGCTCTATGAAACATTCATGATTTTAGTTCGTAAATTATCGCATAAATCACAGAATTTTTGCAGTTGATGCTACTTCTGAGGTCATCTGTTTCAGGGCAACAACTGGGGAGGCAGGATGTCTTGGGGATATTTTATTAATTTTCCCTTTTTAATTATTAATGTTCACTATGAAAAACAGAAAATGCAACAATGCAAAGGAAGAATTAAAAACTCTGATTTTTTCCTTAGATATAAGCACTGTGTTAAGAAGGCACTAGATGTCATTTTATTCTTTTCACTTAATAGACTCAAATTATTGCCCCACATCCCTAAGATACTTTTAAATAAAAAAATCATTTTATGTGTTTGGGTGTTTTGCCTACACGTATGGCCTAGAAGAGGGCACTGGATACCGTGGAACTGGAGTTGTGAGCCACCACATAGATGCTGGGAATCGAACCCCGGCCCTCTGAAATAGCAGCCAGTGCTCTTAACAGCTGAGCCATCTCCCCTTATGCTTTTCAACTGGTGATAAGACTTCATGATGTTCACCTTACTAATATTTCCCTACATTTATGCACATTATTCTTCTCTCTGGCTTTTAATCCTTAAAAAATGACACAAGGATAATCACCACTGGATAAGCCGGCAGTGTGGTTTGCTGCTTTCCTAAAGATTCTTTGGAAACAAAGTTGCTGTATCAGTAGTTATCTTGTTTCTTTTTCTAAATCCGACAACATGGTAATTATCTGATCTTTGCAACTTTAAAATAATTAATCACTAATACACAGCCAGAGCTCTCTGGGATAGATTCTGATTAAAGTCTCGTTTTCTTTCCTGTTTACTTGTTTGCTAGCTTATTTATTTAGGCAGGTTCTCATTATGTACACCAGGTTGGTCTCCAACTCCCAGAGACCCACCTGCCCCTGCCTCCCAAGAGCTGGGCTTAAAGGCATGCATCACCATGTCCGGCCCAGGTAAAGCTGCCTCTGACCCCCTTGATCTGACAAGGATCAATAGCAGATGCCAGTGTCCCGCCACAGTGTTTCTATTGCTTCCCACTCAAGATACAAATGGATTTTTATGCCTTTTTATGTTTTATTTAGTTCAATACTATCTTATTTCTTTGGTGATGTATTATTATAATTGGATCTTTGCGTCATATTTTTTATTAATTAAAAAAACTTTGCTTTTATGAGGCTTTACTCTGAATTCTGAATTTCTACTAAGATTTTATTTGGTATCTTCATTTCGGGTGTGTTTTCTGTTTTCCCATCATTTCCCTCTATTAAAACTTTATTTTCTATTTCATTCAAAATTTCGAGCTTAAAGAGGCAGTCACATATTAAAAGGCTTCTCAAGAAGAATGGGGTTGCTCAGCTTGCTCAGCCATTTTCTAGCCGCAGAACAATCAATCACAATGTTTTCAGGTTAGTAGGGGCTTGGGGGTTGAGTGTGAGGCCCAGGGGTATGTTGGGATGTGTTGTGCATAGTTAAACCCCTAAGGGTGACTTTTGTCTACTTAAACACAGAAGACGCCCTCACTAGGTGTAGAACGACGCGTGCGTGCGTGCGTGCGTGCGTGCGTGTGTGTGTGTGTGTGTGTGTGTGTGTAAATACGTGTGGGTGAGGCCAGAGGTCACCTCGGGTATCATTCCTTGAGAGCCGTCCATCTTGTTTTTTGAAACAGGGTTTCTCACCCCTTACTCAGAACTCACCGGCTGGGCTCTGCTGATTGGCCAGAGAACCCCAGGGATTACAGCGCTCTACCTGTTCTCACGTGCCTTCTGGGGATCGAACATTGGTCTTTACTCTTGCAAAGCAAGCCTCACTGGTTGAGCCACCCCCTCACCCCTGGCTTTCTCTCCTTTCACAGGGAACTCAGGCCATTCATCTTAGACTGCACAAGTCTTCAGTGTTTGCGACCGGGGACATTTCTAAGCGCTGATCCGCACCTCTGCAAGCTTAGTTTGGAATGCCATGAGCAAACTCCGTCCCCAGTCTCTCAACCTGAGAGGCATGCCAAGCTTGCCTTTGTGGCAGCTTGATTATTATCCTGACAAATTAATTTCTTGTTGAAGTGAACAAATTAGTTTCCGTTGTCTGCATTACCAAGAAGCATTCACCAGATATATAAAAAAAAAAAAGAAAGAAAGAAAGAAAGAGAAAGAAAAAAAGAAAAGAGAGGAGAAACTTTAAAGGGCATAAAAAAAATAGACATGCTGGTCCACGACTTTAGTCCCAGTAGAATTAATCCAAGAGGGAGGCACAGGCAGGCAAGATCTCTGTGAACATCAGGTTAGCATGGTGTGCTGGACCAGCCAGGGAACAAAAAAATTACAAAATTTAAAAATAAATAACAAAATTAAAACATGGCTACATTTGCCCATATTGGTCTAAGTTACAGTCTGTCTGCTCACAGGAATTCTTATGATTGATTTTTACCAAGAACTGATTTACGGGGAAGAGGGAAATTTACCTTCAGAGGCAACACCTCCCTGTTGATGCCATAAAATATTGCCATAGCAAGCGTCCAGGACAGCAAGCCAGCCACATTCCCACAGACTTTTTTGGCGCTTTCAAAAGTGTAATCATCCATGTTAAAATAGGGCTGCAGCAGCTCCACCGTCTCTTCGTTGATGGTGTCCTTGGGGAACTGCTGCAGGCTCCACAGGAATCCCGTAGCGCTCATCAGCTGGAAGACAGTAAGGCAATCTCTCAGGTCTGGGAGAGAAGAAATCCTGCCTTCCTGCATTGGTATGGAACAATCAGCTATGGTTGTTTGAATGAAACCGGTCCCTACAGGCTCACATACTTGAGTACTCTGTCCCTGGTGATGGAACTGTTTGAAAAGGATTAGGAGGTGTGGCCTTGTCAGAAGAGGTGTGCCACTGGGGGCAAGCTTTGAAGATTTAAAAGCCCACATCATTCTCAATCAGACTCTGCCTTGTGGTTGTATCTCAAGATGTGAGCTCTCAGCTACTGCTCCAGTGCCAAGCCTGCCTGCCACCATGCTCCCCACCATGATGATCTGAAACCGTAAGCTCCAAATAAACCCTTTCTTCTGTAAGCTGCCATGATCATGGTATCCTATCACAGAAATAGAAAACTAAGTCATCAACTGATTTTTTTTTCCAAAGAGGTAGGCATGAACTGCTCTAAACACACCAACCCTACTGGTAATTGCCAGCCTAAACCTACAGACTGACAATTTTTTCTAACTTCATGGGAGAGAGAGAGAGAGATGAAAATCCACATTCCTGTGCAGCATCTAAATACTGCCAACCATAAAGACCACCTTCTGGATATGCGGCTGGACCCCACTGGTTCTGGGCATATCTCATTTTTTAAATGGTTTTGAGTGATGCGGGATTCTCCCCTCTGCATGCTGTGATCACCATTAATGAATAAAGAAACTGCTTTGGACTTATAGCAGGGCAGAACTTAGCTAGGCAGGGAAAACTAAACTGAATGCTGGGAAAAAGAAGGGCAGAGTCAAGGAGAAGCCATGGAGCCACTGCTGGAGACAGACGTGCTGAAACTTTGCTGGTGGGCCACGACTTTGTGGTGATGCACAGATTAATGGAGATGGGTTAGATTGAGATGTAAGAGTTAGCCAATAAGAAGCTAGAGCTAATAGGCCAAGCCGTGATTTAATTAATATAGTTTCTATGTGATTATTTTGGGAGTCTGGGTATCCGAGAAACGAACAAGTGGCCCTCCTTACTACAATCTATGTACATTTTGAGTGATACAGTGTTATAACTTGGATCTTGCATATCCCTCTTGGTAGAACAGAAATCACACAGCACTCAGGAAGTGGGGTCAGACTGAAGGTCCATCTCCAGTAGCCCACCTCCTCTAGCAAGGCTCCACTTCCTGAAGCCTATATGACATTTTTCAAGACAGTGCTACCCGTTTGGCACGAAGCATTTGAATGTATCAGTCTGTGGAGCATACTCCACATACAAGAAACAAAACAGGATATTATAATTACAGCCCCTCCCCATCAAACCCTAAATGGGGGCACTAGAACCCCGTCCTTCCTCTTCCTCCCTTTACTTCCTGCTCCAGCTAAGTAGCTTCCTCTGCCGTGTGCTTCAAACACCAAGTGGCTCCTGCCTTGCCACAGGCCCAAAGTGCCAAGTCCAGTAATGGCCTGAAACAAAACAGTGAGCCAAAATAAACCTTTCCATTTTATAAATTTATTCTCATGGGCACTAAATGATGGTGACAGAGAAAATACTGAATAAGGTGAAGTCGAAGCTAAACTCTTGAATATGTGGCAGTTGGCTGCAACCTGCCAGCTTGCAGGGCTGATTCTCCACGTCCTGGGATATCTGCTGCACCTCACGAGACTTACCAAGGTTCTCCTTACCTTTAATGACTCTCCCCACGAGGGCTTGCAGCAAGGCTTCTCCGGGTCCATAGTAACAGGGTCGATCTTCTTCTGGAATAGCAACAGCACACAGTCCATGATCCTCATAATCAGATGAGGCGGTTTGGCGAGCTTCCTGACCGTGGCAATGTCATTTGGTTTGATGGTCTGTGGTTGGGAACACGAATCAATAACATTTCTTTTTCCTGAGTGGTACTAACAAGCTTATATATGGAAACCTAATACTTCTAAGTGGCTAAAGCAGAAAACAATCAAAAGCACATTTCTTTATCTTCCGATTCCTAACATTCTCTCCTCAAGGGATCAAACTCTAAGGTTTCTGCATAATGGCTCCTTCATGGTTGGGCTCCGATTTCTGTTAGCCTTTATTCATGCTCTGTTGCCCCTTCGATTGACTGACTTAAGGGGTCACTATCACTCATAGCCCCCTGCCCAGACCTCTGCTCACATAACTGGTATGCAACAGTTAGACAGCTTGCATCCTAGCCCTGGGGACGCAAAGACAGGAGGCTCTCAGGGGCTTGCTGGCCAGCTAATCTAACTGAATCAGCCCCAGGTTCAGTGAGAGACCCTGCCTCAAAAAATAAGGTGGGGAGTGGCGGAGTTAGACATCTGATGTCAAATTCTGCTCTTCATACATACGTGCATGCAGACATGCATATACCTGCGCACATGTGTATTTGTACACACAAATATGTACATATGCATACAATACATACAAAAATGGAGAAAAAAATGTTTTTAAAGAGAAAGGAGACAAAGTCCTGAATATCAGAAATCTTACTTTTAGTTTTCATTTTTTGGGCTGTCCTGTCTCTGGAAAGGGGAGAAACTCCATGGAAACCAGAAAAATTACTACAGCACATGGCTTATGAAAATATGCTTAGGACTGTGAGCTGGATTTAGATGAAGTCATTGCCTGGTGTGATGGTTTGAATGAAAATGGCCCCATAGGCTCATATGCATGAATACTGGGTCCCCAGTTGGTTTGAACAGTTTGGGAAGGATTCAGAGGTGTGGTCTCATTGAAGGTATGTGGGGAGTGGGGGGGGAGCTTTGAGGTTTCAAAAGACTCAGGGCATCCCCAATGTGCTCTCTGCCTCCTGTTTGGGGGCGGCTGTGTGAGATCTCAGCTGCTACCACAGCTGTCTACCACAAGACTTCGCTGCACCATCACGAACACTAGCCCTCTGGGACTGCAAACCCAATTAAACTCTTTCTTTCATAAGTTGCCTCGGTCATGGTGTCTTCTCAGAGCAACAGAAAATGAACTCAGACACCTGATGTCCAAGATAAGGAAGACGAAGAGAGCCAGATCAATCAGCATCTTAGGATTCATCCAGCTCAGCGGCTTCTCTTTCCTATGTCATTACATGACCTGTCAAGGGAGTGCGGGTATGACCTGGACACAGATCTAAGTGATTACTACGTATTCATCCATGTGACAGCTACAGGCATTCTTCTATTCAAAGCAACAAGAGCAAACAAAAGCAGCCTTGCCTCCACAATCTCCCGAAGAAGGCAGAGAAAAGACAAGGGCTTCAAAGCAGGATCTCTGTCATGAAGAAAGATAGGGTGATGGCAAAACACAGAAGAGCTCAGAAGAACCAGAAACCTGGAGGAGTGAGGGTTGGGCCCAGCTATGAAGAATGGCTGTGATTGGGCACAAAGGCTAGGGAAGGCAGTCCTGGCAGGAGGAGGGGTCTAAGACATCTAGGTCCATCTAAAGGTAACAGGTCATGATTATTCTAGAACTCTACAGGTGCTGCTGTGTGAGCGGACCTACTGTGTGTAGGGACAGAATAACTAGGGCAAAGTTCAAAACTTAGGAGCCAGGCTGTTAGCAGCAGCAGAAGCAAGTACACAAATAGATTATAGATAAATGATAGATAGATAGATAGATAGATAGATAGATAGATAGATGATAGATAGATAGAAAAAATAGATAGGTGATAGATGATTGATAGATATTATGATGAATAAATAGGTATAAATAATAGACAGAACACTATCAATGTGCCCACCAAATTTATTATTTCTAATGCCTACACGAAACTTCAAGAATCCACGAGGGATTATAACATCTATGGAGACCTATAAAGTTCAGTATATTGACTCCAGATAATGTGAATACAATTCGTGGTCATGAGACGGAAAGGCCTCCAGAGCCATGCCCCTGTTGTATTTACTGTATGTATGTGGTATATACATACAGTTGAAGCTGCTTGGTAGGCTGAGCAGGAGGATGGCTGGAGGTCAGCCTGGGCAGCATAGCAGGACCACTCCCTCCTTCTTTTAAAAGAAGAAAAGGGAAAAGTGGGGGGGGGGGAAGAAAGGGAGGAAAAGAGGGGAAAAGGGAAGGAGAGAGGGGGGAAGGAGGAAGAGAGGGAAGGAATATGGAAGGAAGGGAGGGAGGGACGGAGGGACGGACGGAGGGAGGGACGGAGGGACGGAGGGACGGAGGGACAGAGGGACAGAGGGACGGAGGGAAAAGGTGCCCTCTTTCCTCCTAGCTGCAGACACCCAGCTAGGAACTGTCTCCTTAGAGAAGTGAGAGCCACAAGAGGGCCTTAAAGAGGGAGTGTCTAGGATAAGGTTGTCTACGTAATCTGAATCCATCATGCTCTTAGGAGACATGTCCAACCTTAGGGTCCCCAGCCACGTGTGTCCCAGGACAGCTTTGAGTGCAGCCCAACATATCTGTAGATGACAATGTAATATCTCAATGTCAAAAGATTGTACAATCCCAGGTTAGGCCCCTGCCCACCAGCTCTGTTTCCCAGTTTCCAGGGAAGGCTGGTACAGGAAAGCAAGCAATGGGCAACCAGAATCAAGCACACAGTAAACCCTGCTGCCAAGGACATATGCCAACAGAGACAAGTCTCCAGATGAAGTTATGGACAGAGCTAAGAACGCCACTCCGCTTCCTGATTACAAAGTACCAAGGTTAATTCCATGTAAAGAAACCAGCACCAGTAGGATTTGCCGCAGCTGGGAGAAGGGGGCGGTGCTCACATTCAGGGCAGCCTCCGCTTCTTCCAGAGCAGGTTTGGCGGCCTCCAGTTTGCTCTCCGCTTTCACCTTCTCACTGTCGATTTCATCCACGATCTTCTGGGCTTTGTCTTTTACCTCCTGGACTTCATTTTTCACTTTGGCTGAAGCCTGGGCACTCACCGTGACTTCCGCCAGCACCTGGTAAAGAGAGGACACCAAACTCTTTAAAGTCAAATGTGTAGGTGTGCATCCAGGAGATTCTTACGTAGTAGAGTGTAAGACAAGAATATAAAAGCAAAGCTCTCCATCTAAGTCACCTGTATTTTAATGTGTATTAAAAGGTACTTCAAGAGAGCTAGAGGGATGGCTCAGCTCTTTCAAAGGACCTCAAATTCAGCTCCGACACACCCACATCAGGTGGTTCACAATCATCTGTAACTCCAGTTCCAGGAGACCAGATGCCCTCTTCTGGCCTCCATAGGAACTGCATGCATGTGAACACATACAGGCATGTATATACACATGATTAAAAATTAAATCTTTAAAAAATAGTTCTTCTAGGTGGTACCCTGTGACACACCATTTTCTGAGCTATCCTTGACCTTAAAAGTATATATAAACAAATGTTGCAAGGGTTCATAAAAATGGTATTTCCAGTCTAAGACCTTTTGGATAGTTAAAATAGTTCAAGTACAATGGAGCAGAATAAGAAGCCATATTGAGTCTCCTAGAACAATAATAAAAATAGCTAATATTTGTTGAGGGTCGGGCACAAGCTGGGACAATGCTTGCCTAAAGTGCCATTCAATTCAGCAACTGGCTGCGGGTCCAAGCTCAGGGTGCCACTTTCTAACTGACTCTCAGCAGACTTTGAAAGCAGTCTGGTTGGACACAAATGAGCCACACAGGTGTCCCATCCCCTCAGGAGGGGGACTTTGGGTTGTTGTTCCTTCTTTACTCCACCAACTCCCTCTCTTAGCCTTTTTCTTACTCAGAAAAAAAATTGATGAGCCTTGGCTCCTGTAAGAAATCAGCTGACAGTTCAGGAGAATGTGCACGGACAGACGAGTGAGAGCAAGAGCTTAGGTGGAGAGAGAAAGAAAGAGAAGACTATTCTAGACCAGGCAGAAGATGTCTGACCACACCTACTTTGTTGGTTTAGGTCCTGTTTGCGTTAATACAGTTTTGAAATAAAGATTTTTGTAAGTAATTTTAATCAATTTTTTGAGAATTACATACAACATAAAAATGCTTTTTAAACATGGGGAGACGTTTCTTGTTGGTGGGGACAGGGTACGTGCAAACTCACTTCATCTGCTTTCACGGACGCCACGGCCAGTTCCTTCTCCTTCACGGCGAGATCCTGCGAGAGTTTGGCAACAGATTCGCTGGCCTCCATCAGCTTGTCGAGACCTTTACAAACACACGGACAGGTCCTTGCCGGTTACGGCACAGCCTCACACCAGGTACGTATTCACTAATGAGCACACACAGGGCAGGCACAGTGTGTGACATACATCAAACACATCCCGGCTCATTACGGACAGAGATACACCTGTCTTTAGAAGGAGACCGACCACTTTTCTTACATGCCCAGCTTTTCTCGTGGGTTCTGGGGATCCGAACTCGGGTCCTCTTGCTTGTGCAGCAGACACTTTACCCACGGAGCCATCTTCCCAGCCCCCAGTTTTGTCTTGTTCCAGTTTTGCTTTTTCCCACAAGATGGCTTTTCCTGGCCAGCAGGCAGCACTCAGGAACTGTAACTCACACTGGCACAGTGAGCCCAGGGCTAAAAGAGCCATCAGCTGGTGCTAGACAAAGAAAGGGCCTGCGTTCACAAACAGACCTGGTGTTCTGCCAGGCCAAAGGGCATTTGCTAACATGACCTACTTCTAATAATCAAATTAGTATTTGTATTGAACAAACACTCAGAAGTTCAAGGTCAATCTGGACTATATATTGAGTCGGAGGTCAGTGTAGAATATAGGAGACACTATCTCAAAAATACCAAAACAACTATTAAAAAAATTAGTATTTGGGGACTGGGAGGATGACTCATAGATTAAAAGTCTGCACTGTTCTTGCAAAGAACCTAATTTCATTCCCAGTATCCATGTAAGGCAGCTCACAAATTCCTGTACCCACTTCCAAGGGACTCAATTCCCATATGCACCTGCACTCATATGCACACACACACACACACACACACACATAGCCACACACAGCTACATGCACACATACACACACAGTCATACACCCACACAGTCACATGCACACAGTCATATGCACACACACAGCCATATGCACACACACAGCCAAATGCACACAAAAAGCCGCATACACACAGCCAAGTACATACACACAGCCACATGCACACACACACAGCCAAGTACATACACACAGCCGCATACACACACAGCCACATGTACACACACAGTCACGTGCATACACACAGCCACATACACACACACACACAGCCAAGTCACACACAAAGCCACATGCACACAGCCACATACAAACACATGCACACACACATGCACACACAAAGACACATAAACACACACAGCCACATACACACACAGCTACATACACACATAGCCACATGCACACACAGCCATATACACATACACATAATTCTTAAAACCTAAAAAAACGAAGAGTGTTTGATTTTCAAACGCAATGATATCCATCGAATAACATGTTGGGATCGCCATCAAACAAACCCTAAAAGAGACAAAGCTGGCCATTCCCTTACCGATATTCATCCGCTCTGCTTGTTCATTGATGAACTTCACCTTTTCATTGTAGATGTTTTTATAACCATTTATAAATGAGAGGTATGATTTGGGAGTCACATGGGCTCTTCGGCGGTATCTGCAAACGGAATATAAAAATAGCCCCTCTTAGACACTCTACCGTCTTCCTGTGAAGTACCCCATTGCCACACCCACCGTGAAAGCTATGAGCAGTACCTGACATTCCAGAGGGCCACGGGATCCTTGACCTGACTCTTGCCCTACTCGGGCTGGTGTCTCAGCGTATGGGAAGCTAGGGAAAGGATGCTGCATAACCCCATCAGGGTTTGTGAAGATTAAAGAAATTAGCATACATGAGCATGCTCTGTTAACAGGGAGTTTCTGGACAGACCGGGGGAAGGGGGGGCGGGGCGGACGGGACAGTGGGAGGGACAGCAGGGCAGACGCCAATGGGCTCTGCCACTCACTTTCACCTAGCTGCTGTTAGCGGCTCATTATAGACCAGCCTCTCCCCTGTCTAGCTGGGTTGGCCTTGAAGTCTGAACAGCCACACTGGACTCAGGGTTCAACTCTGAGGCTTTATGCTTCAGTCATCATCATCACCACAGAAATAAACAAAAGAGGCGATTCTACATCAGAAACTAAGGTCTGAGTCTAGACTCTAAAATCTGACATTTCTGACTTACAGGCTCACCTTTTGGAGTTCTGGGGCTTTTAACATTTTCAGAGTTTCTTTGGTTTTTGCCTCTTGTTTGTTTGTTTAGAACGGACAGACAGGTATGTAACTACCGCTAGAGCATTTTGTAAAAATGTTCACTTTGTAAAATCATGTTGTAGAAACCATTCTTCCACTTTAGAGAACGGGAAAAGTTTGAAGGACGCAGCTAAATTTTCAGAACTCAAGAAAGGCATTTGTGGCCACGTGGAAAACTAAAAGGAAATGGATGCTTCCGGGTGGTGATGCAGAAGAAGTGACATGTGCCTGACTGCGAGGATTCGTGCCCGCTAACTCCAGAGTCTGTGAAACACCTAGAATCGTTTAGGAATGGTCTGGACATGGTCCTAGCAAACAGAAGGGGTTGGCATAAGCCAACACTCCAAGGCAAGCGCATCCCTCAGAAGTCCCAGTGTTACCCAGACTCTGCACAGAAGCAGGGAGCTCGATATCCCGGCGGCCCCTGCAGACCCTACTTTAGTCCTCGCTGGCATCCGTACCCATCTTGGCTCCCGTGCATTGTGGAGCAAGGAAACCTTCCAGTATTTCTAAGCTCCGTGGCCAGCGTGCTCGGAATGAGCACACCATGACTGTTCTTCCCAAGTGGTCCTCCTGCACCCAATTAAAGTCCTGTTTCATAATTAATCACCAGAATAGCTTTGATAAGACTTGGCTATGCAAATGCCAAGCCTAGAATGTTCCCTCAACATAAGGTAATAAAGAAACTTAAAAACAGTGTCCTTCTTTAATCAGAATAAATAATGCATTGGGATGAGAAGCTCATTTGAAACCGTTTATAAGGAATTATTTAGGTCATTTTCAAAACAAAATTAAGCAAATGAAACTGTGATTCATTAAGCATCTGCTACTTGGAGTCCTGGAGGGCACAGAGGTATTTAAAAGTATGGCCCCTGGTTAATTTTTAAATCTTGCTTATCTGGCATCTTTTCATTATTTAATTACTAGGAAATCAATGCAAGAAAGATGTGGTGTGGCTGGGCCTGCGCAACCAGGCTACGCAAAGGGTCTTCACATTTAATGCCTCTTTGGAGAGGACTTTGCGGCTCCGGTTCCAGCAGCTACAGATCTTATGAAAGAAACCTTGCTTCCCTTTGGAAACAGTGTTCACGGCTGCCCGGCTTCTGTGAGCTCACGCACCTTTGGAAGTAATTCTCACAGCTCTCGGAAACCATGTCGTGAAAGAGTCCCATGGTTTCGACAACCTGCCTCTTGATCTCACTGGAGCAGACAATGTTATAATCGGCAAGGAAGTAGGAGGCTACAGCAATCAAAGCCTCCTTGGGCCAGCGGCTGAACCAGTCCATGGTGCAGCCAGAAATCAAGCCAGGGAACTTGAGGGACCGGGCCCGGAACTTCTCGCCAACCTGCGGAGAGCAAGGTCAGAAGACGTGAGAAGCACAGAGCGAGGAAGGCCAGCTGGAGGGAGGGATAGAGTCACAGCCGTGTGACGCTGAAGGTTAAATAACACCTTCTCAGACTGCAGCAGAACATCAAGTCAGTGTTTAGCTGGAGGAAGGCGCGGTGCCCTGGGAAAATGGCTACTGTATGGTGTTCAAGTCCAGGAGCTACCGCCTAAGAGCAAAGTGACAAACTGAGCTCTTGACACAAGGTCGGGGACGGGGGACGCCTGGACACTGGAGCAAGTACAAGTGTCTCGGATGGAAAGAAGATTTTCTAAACCCTCCCTTTGGCTATCTATTGAAACAATGGACCCCAAGAAACGAGAATACCCCTGGACTCTCATTCTTGCTACATGAAGGAAAAGGCTGAAGCTTGGAGCCAGTTAGAGGAGAAGCTTGTCTGCAGGAAGAGACCTCACACAATCCCGACAGTTTGTCGGACCACCGTGGAAGATAGACTGGAGCCCAGAGAACGACAGTGGGCAGGACCACACCTTGACAGGGCCACCCAGATCCTGCCTCCTGTCTAAACTCAAACCTCAGGACAGGACCTGGAAGATGGACTTGGGGCAGTGAAGGGGCATGTCACTGGGCCTATTTGTCCTTTCTCCCAATGTGACCCCATTGAATAAATTTAGCTTGTCTCTTTCATTGGCTTGTTGAGTACTGGTGTCCAAGGCTGGCCTCTGTGAGCTGCCCAGACCTTAGTCTCTGCCCATAACAGGCATAGAAACACAGGCAGCTTAAGGAACAGCTGGTCCCTCTAGGGTAGCAGTTAGGGAGCTAAGGAGACTTCCTCCAAGTGTCTGGGAAGTGCTGGATGTGGGAGCAGAGCTGGGTACATTTTACAAGGCAAGAGAAGAGAGGGAAACTCAACCGAGTACAGAGAAGAGCTCTGACAAGCAGGGCTGTCTCCTCCCGCGAGAGCAAGGCGACCCTCTGGGGCAGGGCAGAGCTCAGCAGTAAAACATCCCAAGAGAACACAAATGTCCTACACGTATGCTTTCTAGCAGTGTTGCCCAGCAAGGAAGCCACTGACTACACGTGGCCAGGAAACACTGGAAATGGGGAAATGGGGAACCAGATTTTTATTTTGCATAATTTCAGCTAACTAAAATTTAAGGAGCCACATGGGACAAATGACTGCCAGACTGGTAAGCACGGTGAGCTAGACATACTCAAAGTTGGAAAATCCAACTCAAAGTTGGAAAGAATAGTCTAGATATCGTGTCCATACTGGAGATACAGATGGGTGAGCTTGTAACATTAAATTCTTCATGATTCGAATAAAATATGTCTCTTGTCATTTTGTGAACTGTTAAGCTATACAGTGGCCTCAAATAATTCATATATTCTTGCATGGCGTACACTGGTGATGAGATTTGAGTCCAAGGAGCATGGTATTAGGGGAGAAATCATTTTAGTTTCATGAACAAAAGGTTTGTTTCTGACCAAACAGCCATTCAGAGAAGGTCTCCTGTTAGATGCATGATTCCGCCTACATTAAAGAACGAAGACTCACCGGGGAAAAGCAGAGAACAACATGCAAATTCTTCCTGGACCTGGTGATGAAGTATTCATACAGGTTGTCAAAGGTGGGAGGGTGGCGCGGCAGCTCCCTCTTCATCACCGGCACCAGGCCTTGGGTGATTTCATCCAACTCGTCTCGGGCAAACAGATTGGAGATCTTTGAGGGACAGGCAAGAAAGTGAGGAAGTGACGTGAAATTTAAATAATTAATAATTTCCCACTGCTGTGAGTCTGGTTAGCCACCCTCCCTTTGTCCTCCCTCCTTCTCTCTCTCTCTCTCTCTCTCTCCCTCTCTTATGCTCTCTCGGTCACACGCGTGCATGCACACACACACACACACACACACACATCACCATCCCCCCAAGACTCCCTTCCTGCTGCTCCTCAGCCACATGCCAAGTTTGCCAGACATGATCAAGAGCACGACTCTTTTATTGAGCACAGTAATCAACAGCAATTCACAGTGCACCCCCTCCCTGTTAAGAAGCTGTCACTCTAAGAACACCCCCCCCCTCACTCCTCCAATCAATGCTCTCAAGTATCCAGTGGCTGACAGGTCCTCTCAACTCTACTCCTAAGACATGTTACTTAGCCCCGGTCCCATCAAGCGCCAGCAATCACCCGTGTGCTAGCCAGAGTCAACAGCTGCAGACCTGCCCTTACCAAGGGAGCACTTTGGGGGCTTCCCATTGGCTGGTATCTGAGAACATGGCTTTGGGGCTAACTCTTCCCTTACTAATTGTCAAGGTGTTTCCCCTGAGCTTAAAGTAATCAGGCAAACACTGCCGATATATGGTCAAGGCTGTGTTTCTCCTAGGAGTCCAGAGTTTTGGCAGCTGTGGACGGCTCTAACAAGATCTTCCGATTTGGAATCCCACACAGGCTTCCCTGAGCGGAAATGTGATGTGAACAGCATGGGGTACACATGTCAGCATCTCTTCCTGGAGGGAAGGCAGGTTTTATATGGACCCTCAGGGAAAGCACAGGACACCTGGACATCGGTTCCCCAAGGCTATGTGTGTGTGGTGTGTGTGTGTCTGTGTGTGTGTCTGTGTGTGTATTGCCATGTGGTGGTGTACATTATGTGTGCTGGTGTGTATGAACACGCATGTGGAGGACAGAGGATAGTCTCAGTGTCTTTCTTCAGACACCATCCAGCTTGATTCTTGTGACATGATCTCTCTCTCTGACTTAGAACTCACAAAGTAGGCTACACTGGCTGGCCAGGGAGCCAGGAATCCACAGAGATTTACCTCTCCAGCAGTGGGATTCCAAGAACTTACCACCATGCATGACTTTTATTATTATTATTATCATTATTATTATTATTAAATATGGGTTCTAGGGATCAACCTCAAGCAAGCACTTTACTGACCAAACCGTCTTCACAGTCCAGAAAGTCTCCACATATGACCCAGCTGGGCACCCTCACTATAAATCTCAGCCATTAGTACAGCTATGTGCTGAGTGCTGGCGACCTTCTGATGAAGTACGAAAGGTGGGTGGCCATGGGAAACAGGAAAGCAAGGCCCACCCCACCTGCTTCCAGCAAACAAATTCATTCAACCATTCTACACTCCCAACTGGCAAATAGGTGGCGAGGTAAAATAAGGCATAGGTCCAGGCTGAAGGTAAAAATTAGGCCAGAACTGTGTTTAAGATGGAATAAATAAAACATACTATATGTATATATGGAGGGTAGGCAGCATTCATTTCACACAAATACAAAAATAAAATGAAATAACCTACTACATCGTGTGTGCCTAAATCTCATTTCTCAAGTCAAGAATGTATGCAAAACAACCCCGCTTTCGTAAAGTTCCTGTTCTTCCTACACAAATGAGATTTGGATTTAGGGGCTGGGGAGACTGTTCAGCTGATAAAGCACTTGCCTTGCCAGCGTGAAGACTTAAATTCCGTCTCCAGAATCCACATTTTAAAAACTAACAAAAGCCAGGTGTGACATAATCCAGGTACTGGGGCCCTGATTTTATTAAGCCCCAGCACCTACAGAAAAAGCCATGCATAGAAAAACAAACAAAACAAAACAAAAAGTCATGCACAGTGGCTCAGTGTTTGCAGTCCCAGCACTGGGGAGATGGAGACCAGCAGACCCCAGGGCTCACTGGCCAGCCAGGGTCCCATGCACACCAGCCCAAAACAAACAAAGCAAAGAGAGGTGGGTGGTGACTAGGCACAGTGACAGCCATGGACGTCTTGGACGTTCCACATGCAAATTCACACGTGTGCACATGTGTCCACATACATTCATACACCTAGATGTGGGCGCACGAGCACACACACATCCACACACGCACGCACATCCACACTTTCTCACTGTGAGCGGCCCCTCTCTGAGACCCACCTCCCCCGAGGACAGCAAGTTATTAAGGTATTCCAGGAACGCCTCGTCTTTTATCTCATTGTCCGTGAAGATGAAGGTGATGCCCTTGCCTTCGGCTCCGGCAACTTTGTACAAGTTCTTTAAGTCTTCTATCAGATTGCTCACATTGTAGGACCTAGAAGAGAGGCAGCAGGTGGTTTTTCAGAGATGTGAATGTAGCTGGAGAGACTGCTCAGCAAGTTAGACGTGCTCGCTGCTCTAGCAGAGGACCCGAGTTTGGTTCCCAGCTCCCACACTGGGGAGCTCAAAAGTGCCTGTAGCTCCTTTCCCAGGGGACCTGGAATCCTCTTCTTGTCTCTGCAGACACTGCACACACATCTTGAGCATACAGACGAGCAGGCACACACAAACACATAAACTTAAAAGTAACCCATTAACATATATAATCATAGTTTATCTCAAGGCGCAGTAATAAACCACGATAATTAGAGCAAAACTGCACTGGCTCCAACACAATACTGAGTAATGGTGTCTGCCGGAAAAAAAAAACGGGGAGTAGAGATAAAGGACTACATGTTACCATTCAAAATAAGTATGTTGTATACATCTCAACAACAGAGACGTGGGGCGTTTAACGGAGGGGGCCTGGAGATAATAACAGGACAGGAAAATGAGCATCAACACTATCCAGCCATCCGAGTCAGCAGATACTGTCCAAGGGGATATACACCCAACACCTACAACTAATCTGAAATCTGGACGACTTTGGTTTTGGGGGTGGGGAAGTCGCAACAAATTATGAATAAAATCAGTGGCAAATTATGTATCGCAGTCATGTGCACAGCTCACCAAGTGGCTAGATACAGGGAGAGCCTACAGTACATTATGCAATTTGGCCTAAGTAACTGAAATACTGTGGAGAGCGGGCCACCGGTTGTGAAGAGGGGGCTTCTTCTGTCCACCTGTTTCCTGGCGGACCTAAGTGTCTGGGATCACAGATTCAGACACAGGCAGGAATGTGGCTCAAAACCAACAAGGGAAGAAGTACTGGAGGCTGGAGTCTCTACCAGCTGGAGGAAGTGCACGGCCCACTCAAGGACAGAACCATGGCTTAGCCAGCCACCGGAAGGTAGGCTCTGT